AACAACAACAATATTAGCTTGTCTTCCTTGTAGGCGTATGGATATTATCCTATCACTGACAACATTATACTTCAGGATAGATCTTGAAACGTTCTTTGTGATGATGAATGTCATGCCATTCCTCTTCAGTTTGTCATTCTTAGCATAGTAGATTACATGGTTGTCTGATTCAAAATGGCAAAACCAGTGCATTTTAGCTCACTGATGCCTATGATATTGATCTTTGTGTTCCATTTCATTTTTTGACAACTTCCAATTTTGCTAGATTCATATTTTGTGCATTCCATGTACTGATTATTAATGGATGTTTGCAGCTGTTTCTTCCTATTTTGAGTCATGCCATGTCAGCAAATGGAGGTCCTGAAAACTTTACTCCATCCACATAATTAAAATTGGCTCTACTCTGAGGAGGCAACACTTCCCCACTTGTATTTTCAGTGCCTTCTGACCAGAGAAGCACATCTTCTGACATTATATTGGACAATTTGGACAATGTTTCAGGGCTATTCATAAAGCTTTTCAATAATATATCAAACAGTGTTTCACTGCTATTCATAAGGTTTTCACTGGCCAATACTTTGAGAAGTGGATGGCCCCTTCCTTCTGAATCTGTCTTAGTCTGGAAGCTCTGGTGAAATGTGCCCATCATCGGTGACTCTGCTGGTATTTGACTCTGCTGGTGACATAGCCTCCAGCCTCACAACAACACACAAGCCACCACAGTACGACAAACTGAAAGACTAGTGGTGGATCATTACTTTTAGTTTCCTTATACTCACTTGTCCTTTCCCTTTAAAAATTGTCCCTTTAAATTAGCTCTCCTTAAATTACCCATGTTGAGTCTACTATCTTTTTTCTTCCTTGTGTCTGAGGGAGTCACTCAGTAACTGCAAATATTTTGCATAAAAATATTGGTGATTATTTTATCAATAGGCTTATTTCTGTACCTGATTTATATTTTCTTTCACAAAAGAAATAATTATTAAAAAATAAAATAACTTAGTAACCTATAGTGTTCATGGCTTATTTAATGAGAAAATCTGATGAGATTATGCTTCTTGAAGGGAATGCAATGTTATTCCATCTTATTAAGCAAAAAACAGTAAGTAATGTGGTGATTCATTGTCCTTAAAATATAGCTAGACATTATTTTTCTCCTATACCTTTGTGTATTCTGAAAAAGAAAAAGAAAATTTGTTCTTTGTTCCATATAATTTTCTGTGCTCAGCTCATTATGTTTATGTATCATGTTATCATTTCCTTTGTTGCTATTGTTTTAGTATTTGCTAAATATTTGTGTTTGTCCTCTTTTTTATTGTGATGTGAAGGTTTATCATTTTTTCTTTGAAGTTACCCTGTGATTTATAATTTTCTCCCCAGTTTTAGAACAGTCCATTCTATCTTGCAGTTCTCTTTGCTTCCTCACCATTTAGAAGTTCTGTAACTGCACTATTTTTCCCTCTTTTTGGTTTGTAATTGTCCTCATTTGCCAATTAATGTCTCTGGTTCCCTGTTTATAACTTTGTAAGTTTATTTACTTTGGATATGTCCATAGCTGTGTTGATTTCTGGGTTATGTCATCATGTGTATTAATGGTTGCTTGTTGTTTTCTATTATTGGTTTGCTGTTCAAAGGACTCCCTTTAGTATCTCTTGTAAGGTTGGTCTGGTTTTAACAAATTCCCTTAATTTCTGTTTATCTGGAAATCTAATATCACCATCATATTTGAGGGACAATTTTTCTGGATATATAACTGGTTGGAAATTTTTCTCTTTCAGGGTTTTATCTATACCATCCCATTGCCTTTTTGCTTGCATTGTTTTGGCTGAGAAATCAGAGCTTATTCTTACTGGTTGTCCTTTGTAGTAACTTTTTGTTTTTCCCATGCTGCTTTCATGATTCTTTTTTGTCTTTGGTTTGAAGATGATATGTCTTGGTGATTTTCTTTTGGGGTTCATTGGACTTCCTGAATGGATATATTCTCATCTTTCATCATATCAGGGAAATTCTCTTTCAATAAATCTTGGACAGTTTTCTCAGTGGTTTTATTTTTCTCTTCCTGTTCTAGAATTCCAATTCCACATACGTTATTCCATTTGATGGTATCTGACATGAACCTTAGGCTTTCTTCATTTTTTTTTTTTTTTTAATCTTTTTTCTGATTGATCCCTTTCCAAAGAAGTATTCAGTTATTTGTCTTCAATCTAATTAATTCTGTCTTTCATTGATTCAATTCTACTCCTTTGCCCTTTCCTCTAGTTCTGAAAGTTTAGTATTAATCTGCTGGATTTCTATCTGTATATTTTTAATCATTTCTAATTTTTCATTTATTTTGTCATTTTGTTCTTGTGTTTTTTTCCAAAATTCTTCTAGAGTTTTATCTGTGTTTTCCTTAATTTTGTCAGTGTTTTCCTTCATCTGTCTCTCAATCCTTTGAAGATACCTAAATATAATTCTTTTGAATTCCTTATCAGAGAGTTCCAATGCTGCTTCTTCCTCAGGGACATGTTCTGGGTCTGTATCTTGCTCCCTTATATCTACCATTTTATCTTGCTTCTTTGTGTGGACTGTGATGGTCTGTTGTCTCTGAGATGTTGTGATGTTGTTGTATTTAGATCTCTGCTAGCTGTTTTTGAAGAGCAGCTAAGGGTGAGTGAGGCTCCACTTGGTGATTGTTTATTGTTGGCCAGTTGGTGGAGAAGGAAGTGGTGGCTGTCATTCAGTAAGTGAAGGTGCAGGAGGTTTGGGTGTAGTTGTGTCTTATGGGCACTGTTGCTATCTCCCACTCAGTTGGACAAAAATAACAATTGAATAACCATCAAAAAAGTAAAAGCAAGTGGAGAAAAACACATCATGTAATCACACAGGAACAATAACCAAAAAAAGAAAAAAAGGTAAAAAAATGCAATATCTGGGGAGAGGGCAATAACAGAAAAAAAAAAAGTAGGGTAGGAGAATAATGAAGAAAAAAAATGGGAAAAATGCAAAAAGAAAAACAAGGAATGGGTTTAACCATGAGAAAGAAAAAAACTTGCAACCAGAAACAGAAAATAGAGAAAAAGCTGAAAACTAGAATCTTTGCAGTCACTGGCATCCAGAATGTCCTTGCGGTTCCTGGAAGTGGAGCCTGTTCTTAAGTCCCTGGAATTTGGGAGTAAGCTGTCACTTTAAATATCCAAAATTGTCAAAATGCTTGTAAACATTCAAAATGGTCACACCCTCCATACAGGTAAAAGTCCACAGCTCAGCCTGACTTCCTCTTCGCTACTTCCCCATTTATTCACCAGCCACCAGTGCAGTCTTCTGTGCAGGCCCTGGCTAGCAGGGCCAATTTTTAAGCTAATTCTTAGGTCCTAACACCACTAGCAATATCCAAGCTGTGTGTGCCATCAGGATCGCTGCCAGACTGCAACTTCATATGTCTCCTTTTTTTGGTATTTTCATGCAAATTCTTCCAGTAGTTGGAGCTTAGTCCACTTCTATATCCTTCCTTCAAAACTCAGGGTTCCAGAATTATCTTTTGTATCCATGTCAGTTGGTTCCCCTTTTCTTTGTTGAAGAGGGTCTGCACAGTCTTTCTGCCTATTCCGTCATCTTACTGGAACTTCGAAAGTTTGTTCTTAAAAACAAAAAACGAGACCAAGGAAAATTTACAGTGATGAGACAAAATGTTCATGGTATATATTTATATTACACAAAATATTTCTGAAATGTTTTTATGTGCCTGATAGAAGGAATTGTATTACAACTTAAAAACGCTTTTAGCAGGTGCTTGTGTATTCACATTGTTGTTGTTGTTGTTGTTTGCCGTCAAGTCGGACCCGACTCATAGCGACCCCTCCTTGGGTTTCCGAGGCAGTATCACTACAAAAGTAGATTGCCCCATCTTCCTTCCGAGGAGTGTATTCACATAGCATATTTAAATTGTGTCTTACTAATATTTAGACTATTTAACATACCTACTTGTTTCACCAAATATTTCACTTTCTTTTATATTATGCTCAGTGAGGCATGAAGAGTCATTGTGTTTAATGGAATGGAAATATTCCTTTTAAAAATCTAAAATTTATGCAACTTAAATTTCAAGTTGCAATGGAACTTATTTACATCAACTTTTAAGTTAATTAAGAAGAAAGTAAATGTTATGCATCCTTGGATAGTTTCTCAAAAGAAGATAAAGAAAGAAATGCTTAATACAAACTGTATTTATGTTAGCTGTGTGAGCTACAAATTTATTTTATGCTCATAGATGAAAACTGTTTTAGAGAAATCTTGTTGCATGCTTTTTGTTTATTAATATCTTGGTAAAACACATGTCTTCTTGATAAAGTATTTCTGAAACAGAAAGACCTGTTTGCTGGATATTTTACTTTGCTTTACTTGTGCATTTATTGATTACCTTGGCTAATAAATGCTCTTTCCATTGTAATCTAGCTCCATCCCAGCAACCTCCACCCAGAAGCCAAGTTCAAAGTTCTTCTGCTATCAATCTTTCTTGGAGTCCACCTGATTCTCCAAATGGCCACTGGCTTTCTTACAGTTTATTCAGGGATGATTTTGAAGTCTATTCAACTGAAGACCAATACCCATACAGTGAGTTTAAGGGTTTGGGAATGGAAAAGTATAATATTCTGACAATTGGTACATTAGTTAACTTCTTTGACATCAAGGATATATTGTTGTGGTTTCTTCTGTCAGCACAGAGTGTTTTAAGCAGAGAGAGAATTACAAGTATCTCTAGTAATCAATGAAATAGAATACAAATAGATAAAGGTTAATACTTTTCAAATTCTCAAAGGTTAGGAAAACATGATGCTATCCAGTGTTGAAAAAGATGAGAGGAAGTAGGAAGTTTCATAAACTGCTGGAGTAGCTGTGTGAGTTCATTAGTATATTCAGGAAAGTTAAACTGTTAAAGTAAATGAAAAACATCACCATTTGCTTTTCCATTTAAGTCGACAATTCTACTTTAAGGAGTTTATTTAAAGTAAATAGTCATGACTAGGCTCAAAAATCACAAGAAAAATGCCTGTACCTACATCATTTGTAATAGAAAAATATTGATGTTCAACAATAGGAAAGTATTTTAATAAGTTATGATGAATAAGTCATAATAGAATCATGGTATGTTGTTAAACATGAAGCCCTAGTGGTGCAACAGGCATTTGCAACAGTTAAAACTCAGAGGTTTGAACCAACTCAGTGGCACCATGAGAGAAAGACCCAATGATCTGCTCCTGTAAAGGTATCAGCCTAGAAAACTGTATTGGGTCCGTTCTACTCTGTTACATGAGGTTGGTATGAGTTGACATTGACTCAACAGTACCTTGCACCAACATTAAATGTGGGGGAGCCCCTAGTCACCCTTGGGGCCTGGAATTGAACTCAATTAAATTCCAACCAAGCAAACCACTAGAAAGCAAACCCACTGCCATTGAGTCGATTCCGACTCATAGCAACCACTTTGGGTATCCAAGGTGGTAAATCTTTATTTCTTTCTGAGGAGCAGCTGGTGGTTTTGAACCATCAACCTTCTGGTAAGCAGTCAAATGCCTTAGCCACTACACCACCAGAGCTTCTTAGCCAAACAATGTTATTGTTATGTGCCATCAAATCAGCCCCTATTTATAGTGACCCCTCCTTGGGTTTCAAGGCAGTGTCACTATGGAAGTAGATTGCCCAACCTTCCTTCTGAGGAGTGGCTGGTGGTTTTGAATTGCCAGCCTTCTGGTTAACAGTCAAGTGCCTTAGGCACTATGATGCCAGAGCTCCTAGCCAAACAATATACAGGCCTAAAAGGTGAACAATTATACCAGGTAAGTACACTCCTTAGAACAATTAACCGTGGGAGATCAGAAGGGCAGCATTTGCACAAGGAGATAGTTCAGAGAACAAGAAAGCATAGGAAAGGACACAGGAGAAGGTGACCAGAGGGAGGAAGTGGGAAAAGAGTTGTTGTATTATGGTGATTGCAATCAATGTCATGAAACAAAATGTGTAAGAACTGCTTTATGGAAAACAAATTTGCTCTGTTAACTTTCACCCAAATCACAACTAAACAAAAACAATGAAAATAAATAACTGTTGAGATATGACTGTGCAGTGTAGTAAATTACCTGGTATGGTTTTTCTATCCATAAGTCTTTGTAAACTCTGTGGTGGAATTTGCTGTGAGCAACTGAAGAGCTCCTGATTGTAAAAGTTGTCCACCTGGGGTATTTCTCTTGGGTGCAACACAAAGCAATGTTCTGGGAGGTTCCTACTCTCTCTCAGGTGCTTAGAATTCTGATGTTATGCTTGGTTAGTTTGGCCACTCTGCCAGGCTCAAAAGGAGGCCTCCTAGAGACATAAGTCATCTCTCTCTGACTGCTGGTTGAGGAAGATGTGCTGCTGAAAGAGACACACATTGCTGAATGAGACTCTGAGGGACATGCACTGTTGGGAGAGAAACCGTGAGAAACTGTTAGGAGGGAGACTCTGGGCTGGGAGAGAGACTGAGTGTTTTTCCTGAACTTGAATTGAAGCCTGGTGCTTCCCTAATAAACTCTGTAATCTGTGAGTTCTGTGGAGCCACTGCAGCGAATTATGGAACCCAGGAGAGAGGTGGTAGGTACTTTGGGAAGAATGGTTGGGCTGGAGGGAAGCAGCATGTCTGGCCTTGTAGTAATAGGCCTTGGGCTATTGATGGTGATTCTGTCTTCCTCTTGTGTGGTCAGAGGAGGTCAGATGTGGCCTTCTTGTCTTTTTGGCAGACTGTAAGATTATATCATAGGTTATATTTTAAAAACATGGAAAATGTGATTGACTTTGCTTAAGGTAATCAAAAAGTATTAAAAAAATCAGTGAAAAATTTTAATATTTTAATTTAGAAATGCTTAAAAATGCTGGAAGACTTACAACAAACTATTATCTATTTTCTCTAGGTATAGTAAGTACAGGAAATTTATCAAATATTTATATTATAATGTATTCAAATTTTTAAATTCCTAGATTAAAAAGTTGACTTTCTGTTGGTTTGAAACAAAGTAGGATTTGAAAAATTGATGTAATTTTATGCATGTATTACTATTTCACAAAGATATAACACAACAGCATGATCTAAAACTGAGAGAAAAAGGATGTTAACAAAACATGAAATCTATCTTTGGGTTTGTGAATTTTTTGAAAATTTGAAAGGAGTTTGTAAAAATCAAACTAACGAGGCCCAATGTCTTTAAAAATATTTAATCAGATGTTTTAGATACATTTCCTTGAAGACAAAATGATGTTTTTCCATTCTTCTAGCTCTATCTTCCTCTGGAGTTTTGCTCCTTTGTCATGTTTAACAACAAGCTATTAAAAAAAGAAAAAAAGGAATAGTCATTTAAAACCGAGTTTGTACTTTTTGCTATTTAATACCCAGTTTTCCAAAAGTCTAGGTTAGCATCCATAATTGGTTAGAACATTGTATAAAGCTATGTCAAAACACTGTAGTTCCATAAACTTCCTCAGAACCAATTGTGGTAGTTCGGTTTGTGTGTCAACTTGGCTGGGCCTGGTTGAGTGGCTGGGCAGCTGGTGGTAGTTAATCCCCATGATGAGACTAGCAATCAACTCCATGGTGGGCTCGACCAACAGCAGCTGAGTAGCTGCCTTTGGGATATGGTCTGCTTCCTGTATTTAAGGACAAGGCTTGGGAATGGTCTCTAGCATATGGCACGCTTGGACCCTGCATGTAGCTGTGTCATTGTTCAGCAGCCTGCTATGCTCTGCTGACCTTGGGACTTACAATGGACTTAAGTTAATGGCCTGCCGTGTAGTTTGGTAACATCGGGACTGTGCCTTTTGACTTGTCAACCTTGGGGCTTCTCAGCCTCAGCAGCCTGCAGCTGTCTGAGTGAAGAAATGCCTCTAGCTCCAGTGGGCTGGGAGCAGGAGGCAGAGCTGGACCCCAAGGTTGAGGGGCTTTCACCCAGCCCCTAGAGCCTGGCACTTTGAAATTTGACTTAAAGCCTCCAAATTGTAAGAATGAACTCCTGTTTGTTTAAGGCATCCCATTTGTGGTGTATTCCTGTCAGAGCGGCACTAGGTAACCAGAACACAAATGGTAGGAGGATGCCTTGTTTTAACACATTGATTGACTTTCAAACTTCTGCACGGCATATACTTCTATTATGTGCATATTAAAGTAGCTTCTATTTTGTACCTAATTCCACATGACTTGCACTTAGCTTATTAAGTCCATCATTTTTTCCTAACTCTAAATGTCTCTTTAATATTCCAAGTCTTCATGAAGTTAATGGAAACTCTGAACTTCATGTTGCAGATTGCAAAGGGAAATGAACATCTGTCTACATCTGCCATGTTGGCAAAGCATCCTAAAATCCTGCTATTAGAATGTTTATTTTCTTCCAAATATCAGCATGATCCAGGTGTCCTGAAACTTAAACTTTTGTGATACAGGAAGAGAGAGAGTTATAAAAAAATTATTGAAAGTGATTTGAAAATGACAGTACTACAATTTGAATTATCTCTGATGTTACAAATTTGGGTCACCCTATTTTCAATACAGCTTAGTTCAGTAGCAAAATTAAACTTAAAACTTTCAACACCATCCTTAAATCCAGACACTCTTTCCATAGTAACATATTGTGATCTATTATATACCATATTCCATGTGAATACAAGACTCTTGCTCTTGTTCATGATTAAGCTAATATTGAATCCAAGTATCAGTTTCTCACACAATAAATGAGTATTTATTCACTAATCAAACATTTATATAATCCTATTACAGAAGATATTATTTCCTAAAACCTTATTTTTTCATAAAATAATGCCACTTCAGGCATTTCTTGACAATCACTATAATTAATGATGTGAAAATTATCTGCATGATGGCATTTGAGCAGTAAGAAAAATTGGTTAATACTGTCAGAACTTTGTATCATTCTAATAATATCTTCATGTTTATTACTCTATTTCCAGTGTGTGGATAGCATGTATAATATGAAAAGGAAACACTACTTATATTCAGCTGAATGAACACAAATCTTTGGGTTAAATAAAGGCATTTGGAATTAGAGATGTAGAATCATTGAACTTTTCAAAGAAAATTAATAGTGTTGTATTCCAAGCAAGTTTGATCATTTGGTCAAGTACCATTATAGAGTTCCTCTTAGAACAAAAACTTCTATTAGGTGGTCTGGTGCAGTATGGGATCCTCTAGGACAGTAGTTTCCAATTTAGGATTATAGTATATCATGATTTATGAAGCTTGTCAATTGCTTGTTATTTATAATATCATGCTAATAATGGTGGGATAATTTTAAAGTCTGTGAACAATTAATCTTTTAAAACTAAGTAAATTATATGCAGTGCTATTCCTAAATAAACTTCATTCGCTTGTGCTTTCATTTGCTTCAGAAGCAGAGGAAGATGTAGAAGTCAGAGTTGTTGTTGTTGTTGCTATTTTCCGTTGAGTCGGCCCCGACTCATAGCGACCCCTCCTTGGGTTTCCAAGGCAGTATCACTATGGACGTAGGATTGCCCAACCTTCCTTCCGAGGAGTGGCTGGTGGGTTTGAACCGCCAGCCTTCTGGTTAGCGGTCAAG